GGAAGCCTCTGAGCTCAAGCAAGCATGATGGTCACATTTCAGCATGTAAAAGCTACTAGCAGGCTCCATCATGTACAAAAGAAAAGGAGCATCTTCAGTATTACAATGGAACAAGTAAAGGCTTGCTCCATGCTGTAAAGAGAAGACACACAACGTTTCGGCTGTGGAGCCTTCTTCCGGCGTCACACTCATTCCTTTGCTGCCTTCTCAGGCTGATGCAACTACCGACTTGAACATCTTCAGTATTAGAATATCAAACAGTGCTGTTCTAGACAGTAATGAGGCAAAGTGAGATTACATTAAGTAGAAGCACAGAGATTAAAAGTGTTCAGATAGGAGGAAGCGGACAGGCTTGGTTGCATTGGTCTTTTGCGAATGTGCAGTTGATTCATTCCAGTATTCGGTCAAAGAAAAGTTCAGTTAGAGGTACCACAAGGAGTTTGAGTTCTTTACTGGATTGAAAACATTCAATGTTTAAATAAGTTAAACTTTTAAAAACCATGCTTTTTTCATCACAGGAGTGGGAATAAAATGGGTGTGTCCATTTGCATTTTTCAAGCATTTCTTTTGCTTTAAAAAATCCTGCCTTTTCCCGTATCTCTCTGGCCTCTGAGGGAGTTGTTTTCCTTTGTCTGTGCAGGAGGTGAATGAAATGTGGGCTGGTCTTGGATACTACTCTCGAGGCAAGAGACTGCACGAAGGGGCTCAGAAGGTTCGTTAGGAAGTGCACCTCAGTGCACTGCCATTCGCTGTTGGCACTGTTTTTTCTGTAGGCTTTCAATGGCGGCACATGCCACCAAATTAATCGACTGGACGCATCCGAATCTACAACAACATTCAGATCATTAAGCAAACCCAGGTGCAATCACCTTCCAAGAAAAGTCCTTCTGGATATTCTGCATGTTCCTGGCGTTACTGCAACACCAGGAATCACCAGCTTCACTTTGAGCCAGTGGATGTGTCTTACTGTGCTGCAGGAGCCTTTGCTGAGCAGAGGGCCCTGTATTTGTTCAGCTACAAAACCTAAACAACAGCCACTAGTTTGGGGCCCCCTATTGCAAAAGAGAAGGCAACCAGAGGGTGGAATAGGCCAGTATTCATCACCACGTTGCTTGGTGTGCTGTGTGTTAGGATTGTAGAGCAGATAGGATGTGGATTGATCTTGGATGTCCCATGTTTAATGTTGTGCTGAACAGTGCGTCTATCAGGGTCCCAGTCCGAGCTGTGGTCTGTTTCAGGTGGTGTCGGAGCTGGGGGGACAAATGCCAAAGACGGCAGAAGACCTGGTGAAGCTGTTGCCCGGGGTGGGCCGGTACACTGCGGGGGCTGTGGCCTCCATCGCGATGGGCCAGGTACGGCACTGCGCTCACAACTACAGTCTCGGCCCACGCGGAGTTCTCCACACCGCAGGGCACCGTGGGCACGCCAGAGATGGCAGGCCGAGAAGCAACATCAGTCCCACTCTCTGCTAGTGCCAGGTGTGAAGTAAGACCCTGGGCTCCTGGACGGGCAAAAGAATATAGGCCACCTCTGTCCACAGTTGGCCTTCCAGTAGTGGACACTCGTAGTTGGTGGTCTCAGCCCTGACCGTGAGCCCGAATCTTGACCGGGGCTTCAACCACGCGGTGTTGCTTCTGTTTCCAAGGTGACGGGAGCCGTCGACGGGAACGTGGTCCGGGTGTTTTGTCGGCTGCGCGCCATCGGAGCAGACAGCACCAGCCCGGCCGTCACCGAGGCTCTGTGGTGAGGTTACCGTGGAGACCATTGGGGAGGTTTTCATGTTTTATCAGAGAAATCCTTATATATAGATGAGCTTTTATCTCCATGATTCGGCTGCTCAGTTGTCACGTTTGGATTGGTGGTGCTCCTGAAATTCTGAAGATGAATCGTCCAGGGTGCTTATAGAGGAAGGTCTCTGGGGGCTCACTGTGGTTCCGTCTTCATGTGTCTGTGTCCGTTTCAGGACCCTGGCCAATACCTTGGTTGACCCGGACAGGCCCGGCGATTTTAACCAGGCGTTGATGGAGCTGGGTGCAAGAGTGTGTACCCCAAAAGGCCCGCTGTGCTCCCAGTGCCCAGTCCAATCACACTGCAGAGCCCACAGAAAGGTACGTGCAAGCCCCATGCCTCCTTAATTCCACAGCACTGAGAGCTGCGCACTGCCAGTGTTATTGAAGGAGCCTGAAATAATGTGCTGTCCTCTCGGTTTTGTAAAGACTAAGACAATCTGGGGTGTTGTGTTCTCATGGGAGATGTGATTCCTCGGTTGTGAGTCCTGCCCGAAAAAAAGGAATGCATCCAAAGTCAATAAGCTGATTCCTTTTAAATTAATTACTCTTAAACTTCCTTTAGCACAGTGTACGCAAAAATGTTTGAAATTGCAAGCTGAGAGACTGGGGAGCCACCCTCCTGATGGTGGCGAAATTAAGCTCCAAGTGCTTGCTCTCCTGTGTTACTTGTGTGTCCTGCTAGGGGGCAGTGCTGTATCATTAAACTCCCCTTAATCTCTACACACAGCACTGTTGTCCTGGCTCAGCACACCCACAAAATTCCGCCTTGTAAAAAAAAAACAAGAGTGAGCTACTTTATCCCCTGCTGGGCTCCTTTGTTCTCTCGGTCCAGGAATAAGGTCTTTTGGTAAAGCTGGTCTTTGGTACCTGGCGAGTGAAGAAGCTGAGATTATTCTTGCTTGTATCCATCTGGGTTCGTTAGCTTTGCACCAGGATGATTCAGTCCCTCAACTGGAAACACGATGGGGATGTTCTGATCAGAAAGTACTTGTCATGTCATGTCATCAGTCCCCCTTAGATCACCATGACATTTCCACTGTGGACACATACAGGCTGGCTCCTGCTAGACATTTATGTTTTTGCTACATCATAGAATTGACATTCAACTTTAAATGTTAGGTTTTTGGAACTTGTTTGGTGGGCATCTTATGCCAATGTACCTGTGTTTCTAATATATTTTATGTCTAAAAAATAACCCTTTTCTTTCTCTGGGGCTGTGGGTGGGAGGGGCACATATGTTTAGGGGGTATAATAATTATCTTATTGTTTTATGCATGCATAATCTTGTACCTTAATAAAACAATACACGTATTGTTGAAAAAAACCCACGCAGTCCTTGTGTTAGAGCCTCAGGTTTCCTAATCAAGCTCTGGGACTGTGTGCTCTGTTCTGTGTAGGTGGCTGTCGAACAGGAGGAGGGCGCACAGAGGCTTCTGGGTAAACCAGCTGTGGAGCAAAGCTCTCCTGATATTGAGGAGTGCTGTGAGTTAATTTTTTAATGTACTGATTTATTATAGTAGCAAGCTGTTTTTCTCTTAGCAAAGGGGAAATGTATTGATAACATGCATGGTACGTCAGTCCTGATGTGTGTTTAAATTTATGGCAGGGATAACTTATTCAGTTTTCACAGCCGCAAGGAAGTGGGTTCAGTTTCATCCTTGGACATGTTTGTGTGGAGTTTACATACTCTCTCCCATGAATGTGGATTTCCACTAGGTGCTTGTCATATGGATTGGCTAATCTAGTCTGTCACGGTGATTGGCAGCTGTACCTTCCAAGGGAAGAGCAGTAGTCCGGTGTTGTGCTCCGAGAGTTCAGGATGGGCCTTGTCTTGCTATGACCGATGCCTCATGCACTCCCTAAGATAAGTGGGATCGTGAGGATGGATGGATTGCACTATTCTATATACAAAAATGTCTACCAGTTGCTCATACAGCGAGGGAAGTATTCATTTATACGAGATGTATTAAGTCCTACCTGTTTTCTCGTTAATCAAGCAGATTTTCACTCTTATGAGCAGAACTCTCATAATGCATTGCCCAGCTTCTTCTTCATCACACCTTCTGTGATGAGGAATTTACTTTTTATTTCTCATTACATTTGAACTTCTTTACCATAAAGCCTTGTGTGTGTTAAGGTCATATAGTACGGGATTGTGCAGGAGTGATATTGTTTCCTTATGTTATCTATTGTTTATGCATTAGATAAAAAGTGAGTTTAAGCATTTTACTCAAATAATGAATCAGGAATGTTATTGGTTTATTGTTTTCATACTTGGGTACCGTTCTGTGCTATATTAAGGTGACGTTTGGGTGTTTGAGGGATAATTCGGAGTCCTAGACCAATCGGAGATTATAGCAAAGGAAACAATGGGAATTTAATTTCCATTATACGAGTTTTCACCTTGCAAGCAGTTTAATGGGGAATAAATTGAGCCCAAGTAAAGAAGAATAGTATAATATTTATAAATAATTGAAAAATTAAGAAATCTTAAATGCATTCATGCTTTTGTGAAAAGTTCAAGACTGAAAAGAAAAACATAATTAAAATGCTTACGATAAAGTTTCTGAATCCACACAAAACTATATATTAAAAACGGAGCTTAACTCGCATGCCTAATTAAAATGATCATTAATCAATTAAGGGGGCAAGATTAAAACCGGGGCTCGTTATTTCTGGTGTGTTTTCTTGATCGGGGTATCTCTTTAAATCTTCCGAAAATAGTTATTTCCCATCTACATGCACTAAAGCACTGCTGTTTCCAAAACAAGGTGCACTCATTTTCACTGAGTGACTTGAGTGCTTCTGCTTAGCATCCCCAGAGCCTGATGAGTAAATGTTTCAGTCCTGCAATTTGACAGTTTAGCCTAGAGTGCATTTTTTATGGTTTTCATTGTCCGTTAAAAGAGTTGTCTAGACAAATGATCTTAACAGAAGTGGAGAAGTATGAGGTTTACAGTGTTTAAAAAGTTAAGAAAAATCGCCCTACATTCAGAGAGCAATGAATACCATTTATTGCCACTTAAATGGAGATGGACAGTTGGAAACTAACCATCAAACACAAAGTGCCCAAGCTACATTTAAGGATCCTTTTAAAAAATGATTCTGCCAGTAATTTTCAGCTGATGGTTGGAACTGGATAGATAGGTAATTTAATCCTCAATTCTCTCTCCTGTTGCAGGAGACAGGGTGGCCTGCTCATGTTTGTGCAGAGATAAAAGTGGAGGGCTAATGTTAAACCCAAAGGAATCTGAGAGCTTGCGCAAATATTGACAGAAACGCAATCCTTCTGCTGCACTTCAGACTTCGGTTTGTTGTTGCACTGTTTGTACCAGCTGTTGTTTGGCTGTGTCAGGACCGTGTACCAGTGAAACAACTCATTCTTTGCCCTACTGGTCATAGTACACACTTGGCTGGGCTGGAAAGATGAGACTTAAACTGATTGGCTCAACACAAGCGGGCCTGATTGTTAATCGCCAGGTGAATTTGACCCTGTGAAATGTCTGGGAACCTTCAAACCTAACCAAATCACAGCTGCCTGAAGTCGAATGAAACTTCCTTTCCCGATATCTTCCTATAATATAGTATAATATTATACTATGATATTGCAACAGACTGCTCCAGCTACGGTGTTCAAGGGAACGTTTCCGCAGGTCTTTCCTCCCAGCGGCTGTCAGGGTGTATAACGCTGCCCTAGGCTAGGACTGTTAGCCCTTCATTTGCTCCTCTATGGACAGCATGTTTACTCCATTGTACTTTTTGGACAATCAGTCTGTATAAACCTGTGCACATTTTGCACATATTTTATTGTTTTTACAGTGACTATGATCATCACATTTTGCACACACCTATGTCTTTATTTATTATTTATTTATTTTGTTGTCTTTTGTTTTATAACTATTCTGATGTCTGTTTTTGCTTGTCTTGGGCTGGACTGCTGTAACGCATTAATTTCCCTACGGGATTAATAAAGTATTATCTATCTATCTAATTCTAACAGTGGTTTGTTTTTTCAACAGCCTCTGTTTGAGTGTCTTGCCAAACCTCATTCCCAGCTAGTGTCCTAATGTGTTTTTCAGGTTGGAAGTTACCCATTTGTTGAGCTTATAAGAAACCTTTAAACATACACTTGATTTTTCAAAAACATTTGACCTCTTTGACACCCACTGTCACATGATGGCTACTCCATTGGGATTTATTTCTCTATTCAATTTGGATTTCATTGTCCACGTCCAGATTCCCAGTTGCCGTGGGTCGGAGCGAACTGGTGTTGATTATTCCCAGCATGCACTGCTGTAGCGAGCGTTCTTTTCTGTCTCGGCATCTGTAGGCGGCTGTGCCCTGTGTATCCCTCCCGGTGAATCCTGGGACAGCAGCCTGGGGGTGACCAACTTCCCACGGAAGCCCAAGAAAAAGCCCCCCAGGGTGGAGCGCACCCTCACCTGTGTCCTGGACAGGAACAGTGCCAAAGGAGGGAGAGAGTATTTCCTCGTACAGAGACCGAGCAAAGGTCAGCACCCAAGACCGCTGCTCCTGTGTACGCCCTCACGTCTGCAGGATAGGTGACGCAGAAAACGTCCTTCAGTATGACAGCGATAATTGAAGCCCTCAGTGAAAAATGTTACAGGGTCTGGCGGCCTTTTCTGTTCCAACTTCTAACACTCCTCTCCCTGAAAACCTTCTCCTTTACTTTCCCGGCTTTCTAGATCTCTGAGACAGTGAGGCTTGTGTGATATTGGTTGTCTGATTTATTATTTTTACCGAGTGGATCCTTAGCAATGAAAGGACAACGGAATTGGTGCTGCCTGGAGATGATGGCTTTATTGTAACAAACCCACAAAAAAGGTTTCAAATTGGGTATGAGATAACCGAATTTCAAAGGGGAACTACAACACTGTTTTTTTTTTTTATCTTGGGGTTAGATTCATGATGAGTGCATTTCAAACTGCAATGAAAGTAAAGTGTGCACAGTAGAGTGTATTGCATTAAATCAGTCATCACAGTGACTAGTGAGCAGGAAGGGCTGCCTCACGTCACGGTTCTCACAAGCTCTCGCTGTCGCCCATGACAAGACCAGGGGTTTGCGACAGCGTGGTGACAGTACTTTCACAAAGTTCACGATTCTGTGCTTAATTCAGAATTCGTAAAAATATTTCTGTGACGTCAATGAATTTATGTTGGGAATGAGATTTAATAATAAAATTGGGACTGTATCTCCCCTTTAAACATAAAGGCTGGAGACTTTAATTTGCACTGAACCTTTAATTAGCAATACTAAAGGGAGTTAGGTGTTGCAGATATTTTTTCTGTGTTTTTTTTTTTTTAAGCCACTCTGTGACCAAGGCTGTCTTGCAATGTGGACTGAGAGTGTGACAAGCGTGTGTGTGTGTGTTGTGTATCTCTTTTCACAGGGCTGCTAGCTGGGATGTGGGAATTTCCCAGCATGCTGCTTGAGGAGGCGCATGACTCTGAAAAAAAGCAGAGGAGTGCACTGCAGGCACAGGTGCAAAAGATCCTGGGAGATTCCTTAAAACAGGGGGCTTTGCAGCATGTAGGCGAGGTGGGTGTTCCAGAGTTTGAGTTTACTGCCTTTCTTCAACTCTCCCGTGAGTGTTGATAGTACAGCACCATTAAAGACGTGCTGCAGTGGAATAATAGGTGTGTCTTGTACCTTACAGTACAAGCTGCTTAAAAAATTAGTTGGCCAACTAAAAACACTGTACGGACTGGGGATTTGTAATTAGAGATTTTGGGAAGCGTATCGCTTTGCAGAGTGAGAGTGCACACCAGATTGGCACTGAAATCAGTGTCCAGTGGGGATGGCATGTTCCTTGTGGACAAACACAGGTGGGCACTGGCGATGTAGGTGCCCAGTTCCACCTGCGAGGAAAGATATCCAGAATTCCGTTCATACTTATATCAAATTGTTCTTCCATGCATAATTTTTACAATACAGCTCTTTGAATTAGCCACGTATCTGTATTACCGTCCGGTACTCCTCAAACCACTCTAGACCCTCGTAGAGGTGCCAGCAGACCAACTCCACGTTCTGCGGGTGGAGATCATCTCCTGCCCTTTGCTTTTGCACGCAGCGCGACGTGTTGTTCTGGTTTCCCCCGTTAAGAAAAGGGATGCAGTTCCCGTACAGGGCTGTGCCACTCCTCAGGTCTGGGTTTCCTGTTTTGGCAGGTGGTGCACGTCTTCTCTCACATCCACCAGACCTACGTGGTGTACAGCGGCCGCCTGCCGGACCCTCAGGGCTCCAGCCCCGCGGGGGGGCAGGAGGACTCACGGGCGCGCTGGCTCACCGAGACAGCCTTCCAGGAGGCAGCGGTGTCTGCCGGCATGAAAAAGGTGAGCGCTTGGCTCGCTGGGAGTGTGGCCAGGGACGAGCCTGCCCCTGATGGCTGGCGCTGCCAGTCTCTGCTCTGGTGCCCCTGAAAGCACTTCAGGGCAAGGACATGGCATTGAGCCGCTACTAAGGACCAAAAGTTAGATTAAGGGCTAATTGGCTTTGTCTTATTTTATCGGCTTTGTCTTGTTTCTAACATGCATTCTCACATTTTTCTTAAACATCCCAGTCATCTTGGAGATGATCCCAGCTAAGGCTCTGTTGCCTTGTCCTGAAAGCTGTCCGAGTTTGTTCTGTTTCGCTGTAATGTCTGGGTCTGTCTCTCTCTTCCTTCCAGGTGATGAAGCTTTATGAGAAGATGAAAAGCATGAAGACGGAGGGTTGTAAGGTAAGATCTTCACCCACCCAGAGTCTTTCGCGTTTTTTTTTGTTTTAACCTGCTCGGGGGGTTCGGTTATGTCTGTGAAGAAGAGGGCTGGCTTCTCTTTATGTCGTTTTTTTTTTAATTCAGTTTAACCCCAAGTGTCTTGTTGATCTGAACTTTAGATTTCTCGTTATAAAGCGGCAAAAGATATTTGAAAATGGGAAGCAGAAGCCTCCTTCACACCGGAAGAAGGAACCACAGCCAAAATGTTGTGCCTCTTCTTTTCAGCCTGGAATAAACCTTTGCTTGCTCCTTTTGCGGCCTACACAGGCGGACGCAACTAGCTACCTGAATATTTGAAAGTGGTGCTAGATATCCCATCTCCATGATTTTGGCAGACGGTTTGGAGGAGAGCTATAAGATAAAAGGTCTTGACCCAAGTCAAAAATCCTGCAGCATCAGATTCATTCGTTTTAAATGAAATTTTATGATTTAATTTGTGGCTTAAATGCCTTTCTTTCCTTCAAGGATGGGAAGCGGAAACGAAGCTCTGATGGTATAATCAGTAGCAGGCACAAGTCCCAGAAGACCCTACGGACGCAAGAGCCTGCTGATGGAGCCAGGCAGCTGTCTCTTCACAAGTTCTTTCAGCCAGCCATTAAGCAGGAGGCTGAGGACATACTGTCCTCTTGACCGGAACTCCGGGACCACACCTTGTTCACTCTCTCGCACAGACACTGGCCTTGTGCTGGAAAGTGGGGGACTCAACACACTCCTAAAGAAACCCTTTTGAATGCAGACCTGCTGTGCATCTGAGATCTTGTCTCTCTGGAGAAACTACACCCTTTGTGTCATTTGCTCATGGTGGGTAAAATTACTGTAAGAATTCTGGGGCTGTGAGCCGAACCGTTCAGTTCCCCAGCTGCGCGGAGATTTCCAGCACACGGGGTGCAACATGGAACATTATTGATCATTTTAAAAACTCTTTGTTTATTGGTCCCCAATCATTCTTCCTTGGAGACCCCCCTTGACTAGACTTAAAACATTGTGATACTTGAAAACATATTAGGATATACTGTAAGAAATATCTACTATTTTATACTATTATTTGTAGTAGTGTCTTTTAACAGAGCTTTTCTTTCTCGTCTTGGGGATCCTCTGGTTCCCTGTTTGCTTTTTTCTGATAATGACCAGATGTCCAGTTAAAACAAATGTGCGCAAGTGATCACTACCTGCCGGGACTTCCTCGCAGCTGCTTTTAGATTAACCCCACTGCCCTGTACTGTAACATGCTATACCTTACCACTGTGTAAGATTCAAATATGTATGTTTTATATGTTTCCTAAAAGTGTGTATTTTTATAAACTATTTTAAACAAAAAATAATGAAGAATAGATTATATTGGTGTTGATGTTCATTAACATGTTTTTCTTTAGAGCTATTTAAAGAAATGTTGGATTTTTTTTGGGGGGGTGAGGGGTG